TAGTAATCATCATAAACCCGGCATTGCCCACCCAAACCACAACCAACCAAAACCAAAACAACAAAACGCAAACATAACGCTAACACAATTACAAATACAAACGAAAACAAAAACTTACAACAAACCAACCACAACCACAAACACCAATACGAACACAAAGAAAAAAGCAAACGAAAACAAACCAAATCCAAACACAAAACCAACCACAAACACAAACCCAAAGAAAAAAACAAACGAAAAAGCAAAGCAAACGAAAACAAACCAAATACAAACGCAAAACCAACCACAAACCCAAAGAAAAAAAACACAAAAGAAAAAACAAACGAAAACAAACCAAATCCAAACGCAAAACCAACCTCAAACACAAATACAGACACAAACCCAATGAAAATAAAACACAAACGAAAACGAAAAAAGAAAGAACAAAAACGAACCAAATCAAAACGCAACCACTAACGCAAACCCAACCTAAACACAAAGAAAACACTAACGCGAATATAAACGCAAAGTGCTCACGGGGCTGAATCGCCTACTTCAACTTAATAAACGACTATAGTACCCCAACTTATTCATAGTCTTTTGCACTCACTTTAATGAACGTAGGCGCGAAACCGAACACGGGAGGCCCGGGACCCCAAAAAGCACCCTGTCTGGGCGCCAGAGGACGCACCATGACGTCACCGCCTGATTGAACTTAGTAAACGCCTATAGTGCATAACTTATTTATAGTCTTTTGAACTCACGCGAACGTAGATACCATAGCGTACACCGGAAGGCCCGGGGCGCGAAATAGCACCCTGTCAGGGTGCCGGAGGACGCCCGGATTTGATTCACTTAAAGACTATAGTAACCTTTCTTATCCATAGTCTATCGCACTGTTTAAAACAAAATTATGCAGCATAGCGCCCACATGATAGCCCAGGGTGCCAAATCAAACCGTGCAGGGGCGCCGGCGGACGCGCCTGTTTCAATTTAGTGAACAAAAATGATAATACTCCAAGCTTATCCGTAAATGGAAAGAAATAAACGTATATGATTTGTAGGACCTGGCTTATTAAATGTTATTGATTTAAAAAAAAATAATAATTATTGAACAGTATGTTCAGTGTATAGAATAAATAAAAGGCAGTGTTAAAAATACCTAACGACATTGCACTTAATCAATCCCCGCTAATTGTGTAATTATTTTTTTTTTCTTAACACCAAAAACAAAGTAATAAAATGTTAATTCTCTCTTCTTAAGGATTTATTTTTCATTAAAGGGAAGTAACTTTGCAGTCAATACATTTCCGACACAATTTTAGAAATTTTATAAACGTCGATACACTTTTTAAAAATTTTATGTCGCGTTCATAATTGAAAATTATTCTTCTAAGTAAATGGAATGAAAATTGTTTTTAAAGACTTTCAATGGTAATTTTTCGACTCGTAAATTTAGACTTTGAGCACGATAAAAAATCTAACACTTAAATCCGTAGAAGTGTCAACGACAAACTTTTTTTTTTTGCCACACGTTACAGAACTGAGCTTTATATATTAGATTTATATATATATATATATATATATATATATATATGTATATATATATATATATATATATATAATTTATATAATACACTTAGTGTCAGCCCCCCCCCCTTTTAAAAATCTAATTAACCATTTTTCTTCTATATACTTTGCAAAACTTTAGTCTTGGTGTTACCCGGTGTGATAACAATTATATATCTGACTTTGTGTTATAATAATTAGATATCTGACTTTGTATGACATAAAACAAAAAAAATTACATGGACACTATTTTAAATTATTTAAAGGTACATTATTCATGTTTCTTAAAGATATTTTCTATTTTAATTGTTACTTCCCTTTGACCGCTAACAGCATTGGTTTATCCCACCTACTCGTTGGTTCAAGCTTTCATGTCTGTTTTACAACAGACACGACATACAAAAACTGTTTTTGTTTCATATGTTTAATGGTTTTTCATATGTCAATATGTTGATATAATTTTCTTTATAGACCAAAATAGCTGAAAGACTTTTCTAGAAGTTCAGGTTGCTATTGATGTGAAAATTAACTCATATTCATTTCACTAATACATTTTATCGATCCAAACTTTAGCGTCAATATTGAGAGTAAAAAAAAGTTCCCTTACAAACCTGACGGTCTACGGGGAAGGTGAAGTAGAGTTCACATGTTTTTGTGACCTCGGCATATGAAGAGATAGTGTGGTCATTAATATGACCAGCCGCCTTTACTTTTCCTAACATGAGGAAGGTACCCATAAGAGCTGGGCGGACTCAGGGACGTTCTACTGACCATGTTCGAACTCGAAACTTACGGGATAGCAGTCCAGCTCACTACCGCTAGGCCACTCCGTCCATTTAATATTCGGAGTCGATAGATCCAAACGTTAGCGTCAATATTGAGAGTCGCTAGATGCAAACTTTAGCTTCAATATTGTCGCTAGATCCCAACTTTAGCGTCAATATTGAGAGTCGCTAGATCCAGACTTTAGCGTCAATATTGAGAGTCGCTAGATGCAAACTTTAGCTTCAATATTGTCGCTAGATCCCAACTTTAGCGTCAATATTGAGAGTCGCTAGATCCAGACTTTAGCGTCAATATTGAGAGTCGCTAGATGCAAACTTTAGCGTCAATATTGAGAGTCGCTAGATCCAAACTTTAGCGTCAATATTGTCGCTAGATCCCAAATTTTGCGACAATATTGAGAGTCGCTAGATCCCAACTTTAGCGACAATATTGAGAGTCGCTAGATCCAAAGTTTAGCGTCAATATTGAGAGTCGCTAGATTCAAACTTTAGCGACAACATTGAGAGACGCTAGATCCAAACTTTAGCGTCAATATTGAGAGTCGCTAGATCCAAACTTTAGCGTCAATATTGAGAGTCGCTAGATCCCAACTTTAGCGACAATATTGAGAGTCGTTAGATCCAAAGTTTAGCGTCAATATTGAGAGTCGCTAGATTCAAACTTTAGCGACAACATTGAGAGACGCTAGATCCAAACTTTAGCGTCAATATTGAGAGACGCTAGATCCAAAATTCAAACAAACAAAAATGATAAAGAAAACAAGTTGATCTAAAACTTTATTTACGTTTATATTTACAACAAAAATTGTGACATTTTTATTCCTTTACTCCCAATCAAACAATCAACGACTTTTTCTCTGATAAAAATAACGAGATAATTAATTAAAAATTTAATAAAGTTCTACAATAATGTCAAGAAATATTTTAAGAGCAGACATTCAACAGGCGCCATGTTTGTTTACATTCTAGAAAAGACAGACATCCAACAGGCGCCATGTTTGTTTACATTCTAGAAAAGACAGACATTCAACAGGCTCCATGTTTGTTTACATTCTAGAAAAGACAGACATTCAACAGGCGCCATGTTTGTTTACATTCTAGAAAAGACAGACATTCAACAGGCGCCATGTTTGTTTACATTCTAGAAAAGACAGACATCAAACAGGCGCCATGTTTGTTTACATTCTAGAAAAGACAGACATTCAACAGGCGCCATGTTTGTTTACATTCTATACAAGAGCAGACAACTACCAGTCTTAGTCCGCATACACCCCACTATAATTTAATCCACCAGAGTTAACTCCACTGTGGGGATGGCCAGACCCCCAGCCCCACCCCAGTCTGTAGACCAGAGCCCCATTGCTACCTGGACAGGTACACGTTGTGTACGTGTACCTGGTCATTCTAATAAACCCCCTCACCTCCTGCCTGTGTACCCTGTGACCTACAGAGACCTGCTTAGAACAGCCATGAGGATGTGACACTATAATGGTCAGCTTGTCCACATATCTACGACTCTTGTATTTGTCCCTTACTTTATCACGTAGACCAACAAACCGCCACACCATGTTCTCCAGTTTATCACCTACATCTACGTCATGTGTCACACAATACAACAAACACATGTCTCCCTCAGTGTTTGACCGACCCACCTTCCACCCATAAATCTTGACCACTGGACTTTTATCATCATCAAACCACAACCTACAGCTGGACTGTCTCGCCTCACTCTCATCAAAAACCACATGTTTGGCTGTCACCACATAAACCTCCCGCCACACTTTGCTGGGTGTGTCCGAGTGGTCACATTCAGGACATGGACAAGTTCTGTAGGTCCTGTATGTCTGGTCCATCTCCTCTGTGTACTTGTCCACCCACACAACCCTCCCAGTCCCTGTCCTCAGTGAGTTCTGTCCCCTGGTGTTGTAGCAAGGATATGGATCTTTAGTGTCTGGTACAAACTCTGGTCTGTCTGGACTGGTCAACTTAACGGCTATCCTGACAGTTAGGTCAGCCAGGGCTTTTGTGAGGTCATACACATCGTTGTCATGGTAACCAGAAGGAAAATGTTCAAGACTTAACTGATTTACAGGTACAAACTTTTTATGGCCAGGATTTTTCTTGCAGTCTGCCAGGTGTGTGTGTAGATCTACCTTACCTTGACCTTCAAGACATTCTTGTACTTCATGTGTACCTGTACAGGTAAACAAAACAATTTTATTACTGTAAACATTTCATTAGCTGTTAATCTTTGACTAACATAAAACATGAAAACTATCTACAACCTCCAACTGTCACAACCATCTCAACCATCACCATCTTAAGATACTCATCCAGTCAACATTTCAACCTACAGAATGTTCAAACATAACGAATTCATCAGCACAAGACATAGTAAGCATACAGGAAATTACCTTTTTTAAGACCAATTTTCTCCAAACAAATGGACATTACCTGTAAAATATTTTGATAAATCCTCTCCACTGGCCATACTGTTGTGGTCATCTAGACTATCCTCTCCACTGGCCAAACTGTTGTGGTCATCTAGACTATCCAAGTTAATTCCTGTTAAATAAACCACAACACAAAGATTTGACACATTGTCTACATCAGCACTAAACCATGGCTGTACACTTGATTAAGTTAAAAGATAATTAACAAACTTACCTGTAACTTGATGTGACAGATCTCTACTGGCCTTTACTGTAGTCTTATGGTCATCTGTGGCAGCTGTTTGATTGAAATAACCTTGACCTTCACATCACATTCAGCAGCTATCAGTCACTCTGTATAGTAGAAAATATTTTTACTTTATAAAGAAAGAAGTTTATATGGTAGCTTTTTACTAGTCATCAACCAGTGTTTCTTTACAAACTACATAACAATAGCCACTGGTCAATGATATGGCAAACAGAATTCAGCATGATGGTCAGATGTAGAAGATTAAGATTAAATACATTCTTAGACCAACATGCAAGATAGAGTGAAACTGACCTTTGAACTCCCCACTTGACTTTAACATCAGTCAGCACACACCACAATGGAAGATCCTTCAGGCTCTGGAGAGAGAAATAAAATTATAGTGGAACTGTCATTAGCATAGAACTACAGAATGACAACATTTATGATGTAACTGTCATTAGCATAGAACTACAGAATGACAACATTTATGACGGAACTGTCATTAGCTTAGAACTATAAAATGACAATATTTATGATGAATCATGAAGGATTAAAGAAGAACATAACATGGTTCTTATAGTTATGGTATAACCTGAAGAGGTTACAGGGGAGAAATGTTGGTATCTAAAAAATCTAGATCTAGATGGAAATGTGTGGAAAGTTAATTAGAGAAATATTTTCATGGTAATCATGTTAATTCATATTTTAACAATTGCGTCAATTTAGCTACTAGATCTAGATCTAAATGACAATTAACAAGCCTTTATTATTTTGGGATTTTTAAGTTTTATTATCGATTGATTAGGCTAGAGTAGAGGTTACTAGATCTAAATCTAAATATTTATAATATTTTTTAACAGGTTTTTGCTAAAAGAATACTAATACATTACTGAATAGTTTTAAGTTTCTTAGCAATTTTAAATCAATTATTTTCTAAAATGTTAAAGTCTTACTCTTAACTTGTCTAAACTGCTAGGCATAAGGCCTAAAGTTAAAAAGCAAGTTTAAATTAATCATTAGGCCTAATGTTTAATGCTAGAAATTAAATGTAGAACCAGATCTAGAATCTACAACTCTGTATTCAGACTCTACTAATTCAAGAGCCAAAGCCAAATGTGAATAAAGTAGTCTTCATGATTATCCACGTTTTATCAAAAACATGACGGAAATTTCAAATTAGATCTAGATCTTAGATCTAGTTTAAAGTCTAGACTCTATCGAGTCTATGATTAGGCCTGTATTATAAATATAATCAAAACTTTTAAAAATATAAGCCATTTTTAAAAGCCCAATTGAATATATACTATGTAACTAGTATAGGCCTATATTATATTAATTAATTCTAGACCTAGATAAAAATAAAACTAGATCTAGAAGCTAGACTCTAGTTAAATTAACTTAAAACAGTATTTTTTGGACTCAGATCTAGGTTCTAGAATCTACTAGATTCTAGATTTAACTAGATCTAGATCTAGATAACTAGAATCTAGAGTCCTAGGTAAAATCACGATATAGCGTCGGAAATTATTGAGTAATGTTCGTTGAGTTTTGGTAACATTCGTTACTGTAAACCATATTTTATTTGACCGGTACAATAAAAATAAAGTCAAGTGCATTAAATTAATGTTTTAACTTAATTTACAGTTTAATTGACAGAAAATTAATAACAGATAGAAAATCTAAATATATTATTATTAATAAACTCGAGTGTAGTAATTAATTTTTTTTTTTAAGAAACAGGAAAACCCTGCAGAAGATTTGCGACAACCAGCTCTTGTTGTTCTGTTAGTAAATAAGACGATTAGATTAACTAAAGTTAAAAGTAGTAAGAATATCTAGAATAATGTTTAGTAGCAGCAATAATTAGCACATACACTTAAAATAATTAGAAATACAGGGAGAATGTTTATACCGGTGTCTGATAATGGAATCTTCTTTAAAAAAGGGGTGTTAGGTTACTGGTAGTTAACTAAATGCACACATGTCATGGCTATCTACTAATGTCAATGCTAACCCTAACCCTAACCCCAACCCTGGTGCTGGTCCTACCATACGCCTAACCCTAATTTGAAGTAATTTCTAACCATAAAATTAGTCGACATTACAATACTACTAACAACCCAACATCCCTTTTTTAAAGAAGATTCCATTATCGGACACAGGTATCTATAATCATCCCTAAAATCAATCCTTGCACATTTTTAAACATTATGTATTAAAATTAATATGGCGGCAAATAAATGATGGTTTACAGTATTTTCGGTGGTTTCCGGAACGGCTCGTCAGACTACGCCATGGTTTTACTGTTTTTTACTGCTGTACAGTTCCGGAATAATAACCGACGCTATATCGTGATTTTACCGAGTCCTAGACTAGAGAAAATCGTATTTTATCAAATATTTAGACTAGCTCTAGATTCTAGATCTAGATGTAGATCAAGATCTGTGTTGAGATCGCAGACCTTGGACAACCAAAAGCTGAGACCGAGTGTAACGCAGTCTCTACCCCAGACTAGGCCTATCGCTAGCAGAAATAAAGATCGGCCTTGGATAGCCAGAACAGTTTAAACTTTTGTTGCCATAAACAGCATTGAAGAAGCCAAATAAATAATAATTTTTTAGCAGATCAAAAATATCAGTGGCGTTTAGGTGAGAGAAATTGTGTGTAGCCGCTCCAGTCCCAAGACTGTTCATAGCGTTTATCAACTTTAATACTGTGTTCTGAGCAGTGTTTCTTACAGACTTTTTCTTCGAGGGAGACACGTGAAAACTGCGTGTGTGGGGCAGTGTTTCTTCCAGACTTTTTTCTGCGGGGGGCACTTGAAATCTTCGGGGGGCGGTAAACTTTCTTCGGGGGGCGGACACTGTTAAAAGTATATATTTTCTATATAAATTATATAAATTTCATTTCGTTCGGGGGGGGGGGGGGGGCGGTAAAAATTTTCGGGGGGGGGGGGGGGGCTCTGCCCCCCCGAAGAGATGCCTGGAAGAAACTCTGGTGTGGGGGGGAGGGGGGGAGGACACTGGTAAAAGTATATATTCTCCATATAAATTCTACTTCGGTGGAAGGAGGGGAGGGGCGGTAGAAGTTGTTTTTTTTGGGGGGGGGGGGGGGGGTTGGACTTATCATTCAGTAGCTAATTTAATGATATTGTTAAAATATATCATCTCTTCCAATGATGCCAAATACAATCTGATGACGGACATTAAACGTTTCATACTGAACGCGAATGATATTTTTTTTATTTGCGTCCAAAGCCTTTGTTAGCCCATCCAAAAATATTGCAAGACAGTAGAGGACCTAACCGTTTGACATTTCTCCTCAAGATCGTTTACTGCCACCAGCGACCAAGTAGGATAACGACTAGGTTTTTAAAAAAATTGTATTGTTCAAGATGACTTAAATTTTTAAAATCTAAATTTATTTATCTTTAATTTGTTACCAGTTTTAATTAGCAAAAATAATCGGTAGCCTAGAAAATAATTTGTGAAAAAATTAATTTTGTTTTTAAAATGGCTACAATGATATGACGGAAACGGTGGGTTAATTTTAAAGAAGTGTTGTTGTGACGCGTTTTACCGTTCAGCAGAAATGTCTAGTCTGTAAGATATGACGGAAACGGTGGGTTAATTTTAAAGAAGTGTTGTTGTGACGCGTTTTAACATTCAGCAGAAATGTCTAGTCTGTAAGATATGACGGACACGGCGGGTTAATTTTAAAGAAGTGTTGTTGTGACGCGTTTTAACATTCAGCAGAAATGTCTAGTCTGTAAGATATGACGGACACGGCGGGTTAATTTTAAAGAAGTGTTGTTGTGACGCGTTTTACCGTTCAGCAGAAATGTCTGGTCTGTAAGATTTCTTCTCACTCAAGTAAAGTGTCGGCAAAATTGGCGGGCTTTGTTAGCTGTCATTTTTATAATGTTATTTTTTTGAAGGTTTTTTTTTTTGCTGCATTATTGTTATTTTTTTAATTAATGAAAATAGTTTAGTTCGACGTATTAAATAGTTTTCTATAGTTCAGAGTATTTTGAGTATTTTACAACAATATTAAATAAAGTAATTATAATTTTGCCTACTTTATATAATTCTGCTCGATATTCTCAGTAGTTAGACCAAAAAAATTTACAAATGGCAAGTTTGCATCAAACACTGGTCGTCCATTTCTTAAACTAGATCAGTGTTGTTGAATAATACTCAAAAAATAACGCTTATAAGATTATATGTCTGAAATGACAATGTTAAAAAAACTGAATCATGGAATTGCCGTTTTCGACAGCCATCATTACCATGACGACGGTAAACAGAAATAGGTCAAGCGACAAAATAGAGCCTCAGGTGCATGGGTGTGAAAATTCGGGACTCTTCGGTTTAGCAACAATAAAAGCTTTACTGGCCCGACCAACGAACCTCTGACTGGTCCGACCAACGAATCACTGACTTGCTTGTGTTTATATATATGTCCCCTTCTATAAGAAATTCCCACGGGACAATGGGCCCAAGATTGGCGACTCCCCACCCCCCAGGCACTAACAACCCTGGTCACTGGTCAGCACACAGGCTAATTTTGTCATGTCCAGGCTTTCTGTTGTCCGCTCCCTGTGATGTATCATATTATTATATCAAGCAAATGCTTTTGATGTTCCTCCAATTTAATTTTACACCGTATAAAGTTTACAATCACATGTTGGAGCGTATCAGTTCTGCTGAATTATAATTATGACATATTTATAAATCACAAATTTAGATCTAGATAAAATGTGTAAATTGAACTAGTCATTCTCAATTTTTAAATCTAAATAAGATACCGGAAGTATAAACAAAAAGTGCATTTTTGAGTATAAACTATACGTGATTAACACTTTAAAAAAAAGTATAATTTAGACAATTTTTCTAATTCCTAAAATTTAACGTCCCAATATTCCAGATTTTATCCCGTGTATGATATTAAAAAAGATCTATAATGGCTTAAATAGTAGTCTATGTATATAAATGTGTAGCTGTCTTTGTTGTAATTCTACTATTAATTATTTAAATATGTATTTTATAGGTACTAATTATATCTACCATCATATTGCATTTACTTCTAATTAACCTGTAAATTAAAAGAATAATTTTTGCCAGTTTGTCAATTTGGCAAGTCTGATCTTTAATGGTATCGGCGTTTACTTGTATAAACAAGCATCGATTCTGATACAACGCATCGCATTGTGAGTATTTAAAATAAACTAAGAATATATAAGCTATTTTTTTTAAAAATATTATTACGGATATATATTCTTGATTTTATATTTTATTTTATAAGAACGTTAAAGAAAATAAAATTAGATTCTATTTTAATTATGTAAATTTCGCACATCCTACAAATGGCGGGAAAATACATTAATAACTATATCGATATTTTAATAGTATCGACTTCGAATAGTCGGGAATTGTTTAGCCTAAATACCGATACATTTTTAATATCACGGGTTTTTTTTTTTAATTAAATTATCCTTTTGTGTAGATATAAAAGGTAATTAGATCAAACAAAGTACCTATTATCAAAACACAATGACACAAGATTAATTAATTGTATTGCCGGCCATCATTGGATGTGATCGATTGACTTACGGTCAATTTTATTCAAAGAATTTATTTGCTTTAATTGAACTATTTAAAATATCGTGCCTAACCTATTAACCATTAATTTAAAGATAAAATAATTACAGATCAAAATATAAAATCAACAAATGCCTAATTAATTACCTAATTAAGTCGTGCGAGTTGAAATTGAATCCCAAACAGTGCACACACCAGTAGTGTAAGAAAGTGATATGTGGCGTCAACAAGAAGTCACCTGAGTTATATACCAGACACGGGGTTTTATTTCTTTACACGTCACGTCAACAAAAAGTCACCTGAGTTATATACCAGACACGGGGTTTTATTTCTTTACACGTCACGTCAACAAAAAGTCACCTGAGTTATATACCAGACACGGGGTTTTATTTCTTTACACGTCACGTCAACAAAAAGTCACCTGAGTTATATACCAGACACGGGGTTTTATTTCTTTACACGTCACGTCAACAAAAAGTCACCTGAGTTATATACCAGACACGGGGTTTTATTTCTTTACACGTCACGTCAACAAAAAGTCACCTGAGTTATATACCAGACACGGGGTTTTATTTCTTTACACGTCACGCTTGAGTGGTTTTAAAAGATCAGACTTGAAAGAACCACTGTTATCTACTGGAGACGGGTGTAAATATTTTGTTTGAACCACTACATATATATATATATATATATATATATATATATATATATATATATATATATATATATATATATATTAATAAATATATATATATATATATATATATATATATATATATATATATAAACTTTGATTCTTGGGGGTACCGCAGCGGGTAATACCCGACCTAGCAACGCCCCTAGCTTTGACCATAGGTCTTATGAGCTTTGTCCACATTGGGGGGTTTACCATAATATATATATATATATATATATATATATATATATATATATATATATATATATATATATATATATATATATATATATATATAGTAAAATATAAATTATAAACTGTTTTTTTATTTTAATCAATGATACAATTAACAGGATTTTATACATGTTTCATGGGAGTCCATTAATAGAAATTAACATGTGCTAAAAAAGTCAATAACGATATTTTACACTCCACATAAATGCTGGTGCTATTCCTAAAAGTTTTTTTATTTTAATATAAAAGGAACACAAATAATACGACATATAACACGTAGTAATAAATAATGTAGATGTACTTGAAAATGCATAGCATGTATAAAGTATAACATAGCATGTATAAAGTATAACATAGCATGTTTAAAGTATAAAAAAACATGTCAATGGTATAGTCAAAAAGTAATACGTGTATGGTTAATTAATGACAGATGTGCTATATAAATTCGACAGTACATATGTTTGACCATATGTCTGAACATTACAAATGATCTCGGACAAAATATCCCACAGCATACTTTTAATAGTGTATTGGATGATTTTTGTTGATCTGAACATTCTGTTTATTGACTGTCATATGGTTTTGATTACTATGTTTTATATTGTTTATAGGCCTATATAATAATTGTGAGAAATGTTTGCCATATAAATTTGTCATATTGCACTAAACATTTTAAAATTTAGATTACTAATATAGTTCGCGAAGATTAAAGAAATTTTTCTATAGACAGCGTAGGTGGGTTTGGCTTACATTTGACAATCCTACCATGTCAGGTGGACGAAACTAGATCAAAGGGAATGAAATAACAATAAAGACACACCTTTGTATCAAGTTGGTTGCCCGCTTTGATTGCAGAGACATGCCTTAAGGAAAAGACATCCGCCCTCCATGCAGTAGCGTAGCGAGGGGGGGGGGGCGGGGGGGTACATATGTCCCCGGGCGCCGACCTTAGGGGGGGGCGCCAAATTGAAAGTTTGAGGGGGGTGCAAATGAAAAGTCTGAGGGGGGTGCAAATCGAAAGTTTGAGGGGGGGTGCAAATGAAAACATGAAAAGTCCGAGGAGGGGGGGGGGGGTGCAAATCGAAAGTATGAGGGAGGGGGGTGCAAATGAAAAGTTCGAGGGGGGTGCAAATCGAAAATTTGCTCTCGAGGGGGCGCCAAATTGGAAGTATGTCCCCGGGCGCCGGGAAGGGTCGCTACGCCTCTGCCTCCATGGACAATACATCTAGCATCTAAAGTCAATTGTTATGCGCGGGTCACACCTTAATGGTCAAGTGCCACGTGCTTATTTAAACGACAGCGGAGATTGTCGTAGTGTGCATGCAAACAAAGCAGTATTAGTGGCGATTACTCAGCTCTGGCCTCATTAGTTACCTATATGAATGGTTTTAGGACTTTATTTTCTGGTAAATTTATGTTTATTAAAACCATAAGTGGAGCAGCAGACTAAGAGATTTAGAAATATGAAATTAGGACATGTCGAGCAAGAGTTCACACAATACATGATCACATAGTATTTGAGAGGTGTGATCACAACAATAGTCATATTATATTTACCTCAACATAATGTACCGTTATTTTGAGACATAGGGTGTCGTAAACAATGTTAATTGTTATTGTCTTTTTTTTTAAAATTACCCTGATTTTTAAAAAAAAACTTTTAGGGGATTTCTTGAATATGACACCGGTTTTTTCTTTATCCTTGGACATTGATCTGCAACCTCACAAAATATATCGGGGGGGGGGGAGGATTGATAGCGTAAACCGAACCGTCATCCGACCACTTTGTTCTATAAATATTGATTGTTGTGGAATTTCTCGTGTGTAGGCGCATCTTCTTCTTCTTCTTCTTCTTCTTCTTCTTCATTCTTAATTACGTATACAATGAAGGATTAAATAAAAAGCCCAACTTCGTGTATGAACCGGACTGTGGTCTCGTGATCAGCAGGTGCCCTATATAGTTTTTCCTTGAGTGGGGTGTGTATTGGCCAGTGTTTGGATCGCGCCTGGCTATATAATGAACATTCTCGAAGAACGTGCTCCGGATTCTCCGGGGTCTTGCCACAAGGGCATATTTCGCTACACCCAATGTTTTAGTCTGTTGTTGCCTGTACTGAGCCAGAGATTATGCATTGTTGGTTTCGTGTCAAATTGTAATACCCATCGTTCTTTTTGTAGTGAGGGTGTGAGTCAGACCACATTTGCGTTCGTTATTTTTTTTTTAATTCTTTAAATTTCTTTTGGATGTAGCGGGGTTTCTGATTGTTTTTTCATTCCCCAATTTTTGCCAGCTGGTCCGTGATCTCATTTCCTTGTATCTGGCAGTGTCCCGGGATCATGCACCAAGTATTATTTAGCCTTTCAAGGGCTGTCCTAAGTGATTGAGTATAGGGTAAGTGCATCAATACTTCCAACCTAGCAATTTAAAAGTTTAACACTGGATATCTTTACAATGATTTAATTGTGTGTACAGTAAATGTCGCTCTCTACGAGTATTTCTTCTAATTTTGTTTAATTACTTTAAATTAACATTTAATTTGGGCTAATGTTTCGAACGTTTTTGGATTTAAAGTGATTATTGTCATTTTTGTATATGAACTATCAATAAGATAAATAAACTGAAAACACATATTTTGTTCCGATGTATGAAATGAATTATATTAATAGTAAATGTACTATAGAAAATAAATGACGTTAATTACCATGCATTTTAATATTTTCTTTAATGCGATCAATACTTTTAACCTCTAAGTATATTCTCATCAGTTAAGAAAATAAATGGCCAGTCTGGAGAAATTTAGTGTTACCGTAGTACCTGGGAAATTTAAGATTGTGTACACACTTGCTCTCTGTCATAAATATAAATCAAGTAAACTAGGGTTGATTGTAAACTCAGAAATCTTTAGCAAGACAAAGATCAACAGTAACGTATTACAAAAAAAATATAAACTAAGTAAACTAGGGTTGATTGTAAACTCAGAAATTTTTAGCAAGACATAGATCAACAGTAACGTATTACAAAAAAAATATAAACTAAGTAAACTAGGGTTGATTGTAAACTCAGAAATTTTTAGCAAGACATAGATCAACAGTAACGTATTACAAAAAAAATATAAACTAAGTAAACTAGGGTTGATTGTAAACTCAGAAATCTTTAGCAAGACATAGATCAACAGTAACGTATTACAAAAAAATATATATCATCATTACATTTAGCAGGTCAATTATAAGCAACGCGTATCGAAGCAATATAATTAAATTCATTATTAATTAATACATTCTTCAATTACATACCTCTGCCACTGATTTAAAAACTCACAACAAGACAAAAAGAATGTAATTGTGAAACTTGCATACACAAGTTCAAATGTGACATATAGAGTCAACATACAACCTTATATACCAGCCAAGGGCTTCGATTGATTTCTTCCGTCACACTTGACTGGTTTTAAAAGATCCGGTTTTTAAGAAACTAAAAGTATAATTACGTCATGCATTAATATCTGCAGGTAAAGTTGTAAATAATTTAATAACTATAACACAACTTGACCACATGGTACTGTAACAGACCTTGGCCACATGGTACTGTAAAACAACTTGTCAACATGGCATTTTAACACAACTTGGCCTCATGGTACTTTTACAATTTCAGGCCACCTATATATATATATGTATATGTATATATATATATATATATATATATATGTATATATATATATACATATATATATATATATATATATATATATATATATATATATATATATATATATATATATATATATATTACTTTTAGTGTGGATTCAATACAAAATGAGGTCATTAAAGTGTAAAAATTGCAGCTGAATCAAACTGAATCAATGACTCCCTACATTTTTTTTATCTCCAAAGAAGATATAGATTACAGTAAAGTATTATCTTTTTAACAAAGTGTATAACATGCCATTAGTTATTCGTCTATGTCGTAAGTGTAATAATAAAATAAATATAGCATCATTGGTTATTTACGGTTATTAAAAGTTAGATGCATATACATTTCGGAAGAGTACAAATACTACAAAAATATCAAACTGATAACTTAATAGTTTTAGTCTAATTTTAGACCATGCCTATTTAAAACCAGTAAAACTGTTGTTAACTGAATATTGCTTACATCAGGTGTTAGGAATTACATTTTCTTTATAAGACTAGGGCGGTAAAATTAATTAATAAATAAATTTTTGATAAATTCCAATCGTGATTAAACTTTTTCTAGCCACGTCATCATTTTGTTTAGAACATTTTGTGTTGGTTC